AATTACATAATTGAATGCATCAAATTTATTTGGCAGTTATTATTTGGCAACAAAGTCACCGCTAGAACTGCTTCCTATTACCAAGTAGAAGAGTTACCATGCTAAATTTTATAGCTGGACGCCGGCTAACAATAGCCTGCATCCATTTTAGGCTGCCAATTTCCAGCATTTAATACGCAGTCTGCGGCAATAAGCTATATTGTCTGTGGTTACGCTAAGGATAATGATATCGTTAAGCTAAATTAGGTTACGCTAAGGATAATGATATCGTTAAGCTCCTTAAAGAACTGTTACTCGAAGTGACGTCCTTAATAGGAAGCATATATAAAGGATTCGAAGCTTGCTACTGATATCGTATAGCGTTCTAACGACCAAGAATGCTTCCTCAGTTAGGTTATTAGGTAGAAGAGCTGTAAATCTTTATTGAATTATAGATGCATCCTATTGATGCAAATTATTATTGTTGTGGTAGTTACTACTGCTGTTGCTTTTAATGTTGCTGTTGCATGCTACCCTATAAGGAAATAATATTTACGCTGAGAAAGCTTAAATGCATATCATCGCAAGCGCACAACGTTGGTGTCTAGTGCGGTATTTCGACGTATACAGTTATATCCTTTATTTCATTAGTTTTGTGCCATTTTTAGGGGCCCAAAGTAGGCGTTCCTTGTGATGTTACAAGCACTATTGCCAGATCCCTTATGAAAGTCAATTACTAAAACAGTGTTCTAATCCGAATACCATCACACTAGAGGCCAACATTGTTGCCTGGAAAGAAGTAACACGCCTCGGATCCTCTACATATACTACCTACCAACCAAGAACGAGAATTCATATAAATTAAGCGGCAGCAACATCAACAACAGCAACGGCAGCAACAACAGTAGCAACAACAGCATCAACAACAGCAACAGCAGGAATAGCATCAGCAGCACCAATGACAATAAGTNGTTTTGTAATGGCGCGTACATACTTATTCTGCTGTGTTCTCAAAATAAATGTTGGATTACTGTTTTGAGGTTTTTGATCCCCCTGTATAAAAAATAAATTATTAATATACAAACATATGTATCTCTTTTTCAATAAAGCAATATTTTTTAAATAGAATGGCTTCTCCGAAAGTATTAAAAAATAAGTAGAGTCCTAGAATATCCCAGAACGTCGAGTATTAACTAGAAGGCCATGCTTTCATATTTAAACATAAAATTAAATTCCAAGCAACTTTTCGCCATTACTTTTTCACGTAGCGTTTAGATTTAAGGTACTTTACTTTTTACTGTTTTTACCTTTTCCAAATTTTTTAACACCCTGTACATTAAATTCAACAAATCACTGTCTTGCCAAAGGTTTCTGGACAAGCAAAATTTTTTATAAAGAATTATTTTTTTTGACAATTGAAATTTTGTATCCATTTCAGGTATAGAGGAGAGCACTCGCGGTGGGTGACGCAAAGCGGGGTGTCACAATATATGAAAGAAAAAAAAAACAGTATTTGCTTGTACCTCGGAAATAACTCGAAGTATCAAAAAATCTCCCATGGTTCTGATTGGTGATCGAGTGAAAAACGTCAGAAGTCCGCATGTAGAAAAAAAAATCGGGACCAACGGTGTGTGACATCGTATATAAAAAAGTGTTTATAACTCGGAAACGGTGTGTTGACACGAAAAAATAATATAAAAAATCTTCCCGTCCGTTCTGCGTTGAATGGAAAAGGTCCGAAGTTCGTATGTCGAAAAACAAAAAAGTTAGTCAAAAACTGCAACACCAGTAGCGAACGCATTATCTTATCTCATTGATTGATGATTTGTTTTTTTTTAAGTAAATTTCGTATTCAACTACTCCTTGAGGTTCCAGTAATTTTACATTGTGTTAATATTTTTGAACACCTCGTGTCACAAATATGAGCACTACCAATGGCATCCATGCTATGCAACACTTGTGTCAATAATTATTTTACCTAACAGAAGAAATCAACAATAAGAAAGCAGTACCCATCTAAAGATACACAACCTGTATAATGCAAATTTTTTTAAACATAGGTTTTAATATCGTACCAAATTGACGCACAAATCTAAAAACATTAATTTCAAGTTTTTGAATTCTTTCATTCCAAGATGAAATAAAATAAATAATTAATTAGGTAAATTCATAGTTTTAATTCTAACTTGATTTATTTTATTTAGTATTTAACACAAATGTGATTTCCAAACAAAAGATAAGTTCCAAATCTCTTTAATTACATAATTGAATGCATCAAATTTATTTGGCAGTTATTATTTGGCAACAAAGTCACCGCTAGAACTGCCGCCTATTACCAAGTAGAAGAGTTACCATGCTAAATTTTATACCTGGACGCCGGCTAACAAGAGCCTGCATCCATTTTAGGCTGCCAATTTCCAGCATTTAATACGCAGTCTGCGGCGATAAGCTATATTGTCTGTGGTTACGCTAAGGATAATGATATCGTTAAGCTAAATTAGGTTACGCTAAGGATAATGATATCGTTAAGCTCCTTAAAGAACTGTTACTCGAAGTGACGTCCTTAATAGGAAGCATATATAAAGGATTCGAAGCTTGCTACTGATATCGTATAGCGTTCTAACGACCAAGAATGCTTCCTCAGTTAGGTTATTAGGTAGAAGAGCTGTAAATCTTTATTGAATTATAGATGCATCCTATTGATGCAAATTATTATTGTTGTGGTAGTTACTACTGCTGTTGCTTTTAATGTTGCTGTTGCATGCTACCCTATAAGGAAATAATATTTACGCTGAGAAAGCTTAAATGCATATCATCGCAAGCGCACAACGTTGGTGTCTAGTGCGGTATTTCGACGTATACAGTTATATCCTTTATTTCATTAGTTTTGTGCCATTTTTAGGGGCCCAAAGTAGGCGTTCCTTGTGATGTTACAAGCACTATTGCCAGATCCCTTATGAAAGTCAATTACTAAAACAGTGTTCTAATCCGAATACCATCACACTAGAGGCCAACATTGTTGCCTGGAAAGAAGTAACACGCCTCGGATCCTCTACATATACTACCTACCAACCAAGAACGAGAATTCATATAAATTAAGCGGCAGCAACATCAACAACAGCAACGGCAGCAACAACAGCAGCAACAACAGCATCAACAACAGCAACAGCAGGAATAGCATCAGCAGCACCAATGACAATAAGTATAAATCTCAGAAAATATTAATAAGCCCAAAGTAGAAATATGTAAAAACGTGTGTATTTGCTGGGAATTATTTATAGTACTTCTGTTAATTTTTTTAAGATAGATAGGATAATTATTACACATCCCCACAAAAAAATTCTGTGCATCGGACTAGACCACTTTATCCTTATGTTTTCTAGATCGCCGAGTCCAAATCCGAGGTCCGTTTGACCTTTCAGGTCAGGTTAAAGGTCATTTCAAGGTCAAACTGAGAAATATCCCTTATGGTGAAGTTAACCATGGTTATTATGTGTTTTTGGGGTTGCCGAATTCGGTCCGAGGTCTCTTTGGCCTTGATAGGTCAGGTTCAAGGTCATTATAAGGTCATTCCAAGGTCAAACTGAGAAAAATCCATTATAGCGGGGGCAATCAAAGTAATTAAATGTTTCTTCGGGTCGCTTAGTCCAAATTAGGATTCCTTTTGTCTCAAGGAAGGGTCAAGATCAATGTCATTTTGAGGTTAAACTGAGTAACTTCTAAATAGGATTTGGTGAGAATACTCCAGGTTTTTTTGGTCGCTTTATTAGGACTCCATTTAATCTTGTCGCATCAGGGTTATTTGAAAACTACTTAATTTAAATACCTATTAGTTGGCTTGCCTAACAAAGCAATTTTTGCCTCTCTCATCTATAATGGATCGGAAGACTCAACATTCACATTAGCATGATCTTTTTCAATCACATTTGAAAATCCGACAGGATTATTGGTTACTAACACTTTCATCCTTCGCGGTAAAAAAGGTTCCGGATAGTTGCCGTGCTTGGAGTTTAAGGAGAATTTTGGTAGACAGTTGAGTGCATTATATGGTACATGTCAACAATATAGTAATATTCGTTTCGTATTCTATGGTGAAAGATGAGTATTCACATTCCATTAATGATAAATTTTTTTATAACTCGTAAGTAATGAAAATTTTACATGTAGGCTGCCCGGATATCTCTGCATTAAAGAACATAAAATATCTTTACTGGCAAGCCTAACTCCATTAAAATCATCAAATTTTAATCATCATTAAAATCATCAATCATCTAGATAAAAGTCTCATTTCTATGATGGTTCTGATGGAACCTTTACAATCCTGCTATCATGAAGGATACTGGAGAAGATGACAACTGCTCCGAAAGTAGATGTGTAGAATGGTTCGCTTCTCGGTTTGACCTTGAAATGACCTGACTTGACAAGGTCAAACGGGCCTCGATTCGGACTCGGCCACCCCAAAAACATATATTTACCATGGTTGCCTCCACCATGGGGGATTTTTCTCGGTTTAACCTTGAAATGACCTTTAAACTGACCTGACAAGGTCAAATGGACTTTGGACTCAGCGACCTCGAAAACATGAGGATATAGTGGTGTAGTCCTATGCACAGATTTTTTTTTGTGGGGTTGTGTTACTAAGAAATTATTAAGATGTACTGAGATCTAGAGAAATGTCGTATGCATAAGAACTTTTAATAATTTAAGTACCAATTGTGAGATTTATTTTAAAAAAGGATTTAGTTGTACACTTTTTGATAAATGTGTAAATCTCACAGATTTCATATTTGCACTAGACAAAAAGAATACATTTTTAAGACCTAGAGACATCTGTAGAAATTTGATTTTTCAAAAATATGTAAACATATATTGATATCCTTCAGTGATGAATCTGTTGAACTTTGTCCTTTGAATCCCTTTTTCATTGACACAAAATCCAGATATCTATTATTTATGCTATCCAACAAAGTTGATAAACATTTTTATGGTATTGTACAAATATCAAGAAACAGGGGGAACGGTTTTAATGCAATATATATTTATTTTCAAGAAAATATGCAACTAAATACATTAAATAATAAAAAGACACTGACGGTTAATTTTCATTATGTACACATACAAATAAATACCTAAATAGGACAACAAATTTTTATTTTATTTCTTTGGTATAAAAAATATAAAAAAAGGATATATTTCTTTAAACTTAAGGTTCTAGCACCACTTTTCTAAAGCATCCAATTGGAAGAGCTTGAACAATGTGTTCAATATTGTCGACTTCTTTTTCTAACCTGGAAATGTCCAGTTTATATTGCTCGATTAAGTTAGTTTGTGATTGATGCTCTTGCTGAAGATTTGTCAATTTTTCTTCAAGTTTGGCATCTTTAAGCGACGTTTCAGCTATTACTAACTCTTTTTCTAACCTATCTAAATCATCGTTATCCAAGTCTGGAGAATTGTTGACTTCTGTTATAATTTTATCAACGTCTTTAAGGAGTTCCCCAATTTTCTTAGATGTCTCGTCGGTAACCTTTCCTGCCTTTCCAACCTGAAAGTGACGAATTTCAGTATTACAATGTTTCTTAAAATGGGCAACAAAATAAAACATAGACGAAACAGATGGAAATTGCAAATATCAAACTCATATGTGTAACAATTACATTTAAATTGAACTCAACAATAACGACTGGAGAGGTACTCCCTACCAACTCTTGGGACAAGGGGTCTGACAAGATGGTTCCAAGGTTTCACTTCCATAAGGCATTTGATATGCGAATAGAGGATCAAAGCACATGAGAGGAAAAGTTTGATACCCTGGTATGGTTTACGGACGGCTCCAAAATGGTCAGAGGAACGGATGCAGGAATATATCGACACATACCCCGATGAAGTGCAAGCTACAGTCTGGGGAGGTTTCCTACTGTACTTTCGACCAGAAATCTTCACGATAATGGCGTGTCTGGAAGAGGAATATATGTAGAGGTTATAAACGCAAACTCATATATATATTCTCTAATAGTCAAACTGTAATTAAAGCTTTAGGCTTACAAATGCTGACAGAACTGACTACCAATAATACAGTCAGACTGTGTTGGGTGTCAGGACACAAAGGCAATAGTGGGAACGAGAAAACGTATGAACTTGCTAGGAAGGGATCCTTGAAAGAGTTCATTGGCCCGGAGCTCTTCTGCGGTACATCTCCCAGTGTAGTCAGGAAGCTCTGGGCAAATGAACTGAGACAGAACACAGGAAATGTTGGATTTAAAGCCCAGGGCATGGCCATTCTAAGGAGTTTATGGAGTATCCTTTGAAGGAAAGAGCAAATAAGTTGCTGATCTTGAATAAAATTCGGTTCAAGAGAGTGACGGGACTCATAACAGGACACTGTCACTTTACGAAACATTTGCATAAGCTAAAGCTTGTAGACAGTCCGGTCTGCCAAGAATGTGACTCGGCGGATGAAACTTCTCTGCATATCCTAAATGAGTGCCCAGGATTTGCACAAAGTAGAATGACGTTTCTGGGAAGACCTTATTTGGAACTCAAACAGGTGAGAAAAGTGTCGGCAAGGACGCTTTTGAACATTGTTAAAAGGACAAAATTACTTGCTGAATAGGACTAAGTAGTGGGACTCACAATAGGCCTGATAAGGCCGCGGTGCCATGCGACTTATACTAGGAAAAGAAGAATAAGAAACAAACTCTTACACCAAAAAATTTACTGAAAGGTTGTTTTTTTTAACTATTATTGCTTAACCAACAATCTCACACGACAATGAGACATACACTATATCGCTTCATTTCCAGTTAGCTACAATTAAAAAAAACTATTTGGAATCTTACAGGCTGCATTAAAAAAATATCAAATACATCTTCTTACTGTTTATTTTTTCCTCTAGAATTAAAAGTTTTATTATATAAATTCAACTTTTTTTACACCAAAGTATAATTTTTAAATAACATACCTTGTCCTTGGCTTCATTTATTAAAGAAACGTTTGTCCCTGTCATTTGTAACAGATCCTCCAATTTGCCTTCAGTATTGGAAACTTTATCTTGCATCTCATCTGCTTGATCGATCAAATTACTGGTGTTTTTAAGCAGCAACTCGGCCTCCATTTTAATTTTTTCAGCCCCTTCAGAAGCATTTTTAGCAAGAGTATTGGCTTGATTAGCATTCTCCAAAGCGGAATTTGCATTAGTAGCTGCCTCTTTTAGGGTTTCCTGTGCTTCGTACGTTTTTCTATTTGTGTCCATAATAATATTTTCTATTTCCCCAATCGTTTGTAAAGCTTCCTCCGCCTCCTGTTTACTTTTTTGCGTTTCGCTATCAAAATCTGTAATGTTGGTTATATGTATAAATAATTTAAAAAATGTAATTAAAACTTACCTTTAAGATCCTTGTATATACTTTCGGTTTCATTTGAAATCTTGTTCCAACTGTTAACGGCGTTATCGGCCGTCTCTTTTGTCGCATGAATTTCATTTAGCAAATCATCGGTTTCGTATTGCTGTTCGTAAGCTTTCTGCAAAAGTTTCTTGCCATACTCGTTCTTTTCATCGACCGCTTTTCTCAAGTTTTCACTGTTATGGAATAAATCTTGAGTTTTATTTGCAAGCCTGTACGCTTCATATTGCAGATCTGTAGACTGTTTCTTCAGGTTTACAATGTCGATTTGAGGGACTTCTAAATTCTTTACTTCGTTAAGCAAATTAAGAACGTCATTTTTAACTGCGAGAGACCTATTGCTAACATCCCTTGTCCAATCTCGTGTTCTGTTTAATTTAGATTCTACGTTTAAGACATCGTGCCTAATTTGTCTGACCTCATCGCCTATCTGCGACTGTTTGGTATTAGCGTTTTTAACTATATCGTAGGCTTCAATGGATTTGTTTTTAGCATCCTTAGCCCTAACAATTATATCCTCTGCTCTATTGTCTAAATTGTCTGCTAATTCACGAGCTTCCTGCGCTATTTTTGTCATCTTTTCTGATTGTTGTCCTACAATTTGTGAACGTTTCCACGCATTGTCCAGTGCGGCTTTTCCTTGAGTATTGATAGCTGTTTCGATGTCAGATAATTTAATTTCTGATTCATCAAGAAGATTGTCTGTGTGATCAATGTTTAAGTCAACTTGACGATTTTTGTCGTTAATAACATAAATGTTTTCATCAATTTCTGATAAAATTCGAGAAACATCTTTTCCCCTTTGTTTGATATCGAAAACTTGTTGAATTATGCTTTTTTCGCCAGTTGCATTTTTGACAGTGTCATAAAATATTTCAATATCTCCTCCAAGTTTTAATAACTCTATAGGAAAGTTTTCATCGGTGATAACGGTTGGATTGCGTTCAATTTGGTCCAATATCTCATTTAACTTATTAAGTTTATTGTTATGATCCCTAGCTGCATTTTGAACCAAATTATAACAATCTGGACAGTCTATACATCCTCTCTGTCGGTCGTATTTATTTTCTTTACATCTGTCGCATCTTTGCCCTTCGACATTATCAAGACAAGGACACTGTCCAGAAGTGTCGCACTGCAAATCCTTAGAACCTATGTTGTCACAGTCACAATCCTTGCATCCTTCTGTAGAGAATCCATATTTCCGGGCTTCACAATGGTTACATCTCAACCTATAAAATTACGGTCAACCAATATTTAAAAAAATAAATAAATACTCATACGTACCCTGTGACTCCTGGTCTGCAGTAACACTGACCAGTATAAATGTTACAACTTTGATTATAGGAACCAGTAGGATTACAGTCACATGACTGACATCCTTCCCCGCTTTGTAAGCTGTAATAGCCTTCTTCACATTGGTCACAATTCCTGCCAATTACGTGGCTCTTACAACTGCACGTACCTGTAGTTTGATCGCACACAGGAGCCCCAGATATGTCATCTAGTGTACCTACAGGATAGCACTGACAAGGCTTGCAATCACCTTTTGGCAAGACCAAAGCATTTCCATAATAACCTAAAAAGGAACAAAACATTAATAAATGCAGTTATTAATAGTTTTTTTCTTTTATTGTCGAGTTTTCTTAGTAGACTTTAAATTTTCCTTCACCACGTCATAATTAAGTCATTTAGGATCTAGGTTTGCGAATAAGAGATGCCCCGTCAGAACAACGCTAAATTTAATTGTTATACTTGTATTAGCCGCACAATGCACAAAGTTTTGTCATATTCTTAACTATATAATCCTGTCAAAATAGACATTTCAATTTACAATAATTCGCATAGAGCTAAATATTGGTATAGGTCTTTGGAATACTATTACAAGTAAAATGTCAAAAGTCCCCACCGATCCCATGTTTGCTAAAAAATGTATTCAAGGTCGAAAGTCGCAAATATAGTTTTTTGCATTTTTCTCAATGCTTTTCTTATCATAAAAATTGATAGGACAAGAGTTGTAGATAATGCAATTGTCTACAAAAATTGTCCCAATACTTTTTTTCCCACGAATTACCATTCCTGATATATCACCATTTGAAAAGTTGAAGAAATGGCATTTTACATGATACACACAAATTTCCGCACCACCTATGAGGTAGAATACTCTTCGCGTTTTTTTAACGTGGTTTTCCTGTAGGCATACTCCACGATCTATTGTGATTCAGTTTTATAAGATTTCTATACAATAAAAAATGGTATTATTGGTTATGATTAAACTGGAACAAATAATTGATTTCGGGAAAATTTTAATCTGACTGATAATCTTCAAATGCTACTTCAACAATAATGTCTTCTTCGCTTTCTTCTTCATCTTCTTCCTCTTGCTGGATATCTATGAATTGTTGGCTCCAAAATGTTATTTATTAATTTCCAACCCCAGTCTTCTGGGTTCAGTTGATTGCCTAGCCACACTTGAACTTGTAGCTTGTATACTTGATATAAGTGTTGATACGCAGAAGCAGATGTTGGAGAAAGACAAGATAGTTGTACTCTTTTATTGTTCCGTGTATTTTTTATAAAACTTAAATATATTATATTTGTCTATACAATTTTTGAAGCTCCATATACAGCAAGTAGAATATATTTTTGATTGTTCATGAGCATTCCCAGCTTTCAAAAAATAAACAATATTATCAAATAGAGTTCGTATAGTCAGTAGTATTAATAAGTCAACATCTTCACCAACAACGATAGTTGTATTTGTTTCATTAAATTGTTCTATTGCTGTTTCAATTATAAGGACATCAGCGTCATTATCAGCTTACAATGTGGTAGTTGTAAATTTTTTACAAAACATTGAAATGAAGACTTGTTGTGAGTATTTGCACTTGTTGTTGGAACTGTCATAAATTGATCAAAAATGACATCAGAAGATGAAGTTGAATATGTTTTTGTAGTTCGACGATGTTGTTCTGCAGCTTTAATGTTTTACTTATGATCAGTACAACCACCAAACACTATAGTCACTCTGACCAAAGTGTTCATGTACATACTGAATGTATTTATCAAACTAACGTTAAATGTTTCTTCTCGACCCCATACAACGCGGTGTAATATGTATCCTCCATCGATGATGTAAGTAGCATATGTTTTGAGTGTATATTCAATCAGAATCGTATAGTTTGTATGTATTAGCTAAATAGACCAATNTATTGTTTTTTATCGATCTCTGGGTATGTTATACTACAACACAATTAGAGATTGAGAAATGCGTCAGAACAGTTTTAAAATAATTATTTAAAACTGATTTTTTTATAACATTTTAAAACGGCTGTGATCATAAGAGGCACCTTGTAGTGAAATTATAGGCTTTTTTTCGCGAGTGAATATTGGTGAATACGTCTGACTTGTAGTTACTGTTTCTATCTCTTTTAATCTTATTTCTAACCTTGTCTAACCTGAACAGATCGCAAAAATGTATATATTCACTATTCAGTGGTGCAGCCTGTCATATGTACTTTGACGACTTTGATTATTATCTATGACATATGGGTTCTAACTTTTAACTAGTAACCATAATTTGTCATCCTTTATTGCTTCCAGTAATCTAGTGTTGTGGGAATTGGTGATATCTCACTATATAATATATGTATTTGCATCAAATAAAACTGAAGGAATATATCAATGCTTTCTTTGAAATATTTTTAAGTGACAAATTTAAAAAGCGTAGTAAAAGTATGTAGATTCTGATGTTGCAAGATATGCGAATATTCGACATAATCGTTATCGTAAGAGAATGGAAGGTTAGGTCGGCTTTTTATGTAATTCATACGAAAAAGACCTGAATTACAAATAATTCCACCAATATTATCTCTGGCCTAGGTCACAAAAAAAAAGAGGATAATCCTGAAGCAAAGTGGATCGCAAATATGTGCCATATAAAAAATTAATCTTACAATTAAGTAAAATATTTGCTGTTTCAACGTCTACGTTTACTAAAACATCTGTGCCTCTAAAGTTTAAATTTAAACTGACCATCATTTTGCTGAACGATTTTTATCCTCATTCAAACAGAATGTCAAAAAGAAAAAGATTAAGTTACCGGCTGACAATACTAGTTGAATATACCAACAGAATATTCAGCTGAAGGGTGAAGAGTTCAGTCATTTTATCTAAACTTGTGACGTCACATAATAGTTTAAATGACTGACAATTCTCGCAAAAACGTAATATTCACTCATACTACACATACTACAACATACGACTTCACTCGTGAAAAAAAGCCTATTGTGTAAATAATTGCGTAAAGGAAAAACATTGGAAGAAGACGCTCTGTCAACACCGTCAGTAGTGTCAGTCTGTCAGTTACACTGTCGTATAAAATATTTTAGTCTACGAGTTATTTTCCTTAATCTTCAAATTCCTTTATTAAATAAAATTATTATTTAGTAATAATCATTTAATAGCTTCCCTTATAATTAAAGCAGAATGTATGAATCGGGATTTGTGAAAGCTACTTCGCAAATTTGACCGAAAATTGATATTTTTATGATCATGAACTGAATTTTTGAAAAGAGACGATCGTTTTAATATTGGCGAAATCAGAGGTATCAAAGCAGTCAGGTAAGGATCAACATATTTAATGAATGATTGTATTGTGTTTATTTATATAAAATACCTATTTATTTATAAAAATTTATAGTGCAGTTCGGGAACCTTATGGAGATAATGCAACTGGCTTTGTGAAATGTGGAACAAAACACCACTTAAATTTTGTTGAATCCATTACAATCAGGAAATTAATAATAATCACAAATACTCTTAATTGATAGACTGCTGTCACTAGTGTCACTTTTGCTTAAAAAACAGGAAACAGGGCAGCAGGGTTTGATGAACAATTTTGACATATTTTCTTCTTCAAAATTACACAATAGGAACGCTACTAGCTTCTTGTTCAATTACCCCTTATAACGTCAGACTAGTTTTAGGTAACGCAAAAATTCGTAAATGATTTCTACCACTAATTTGTCATAATATATTTAAAATTTGACCATACAGGCAGGTTCTTTTATATAAAATCTTTGACTCAACAACAATTTGTATATGGTTTGTTTTTATAGTGGACAACCCTATTGTATGATCCACAACTTTTGTCTGATCTATTTTTATGATAACACTTACCGTTGACGATAAACATGCAAAAAAACGATATTTGCGACCTTTGACCTTGAATACATTTTTTCGCATGAATGGGATTGTTGGGGACTTTTGACATTTTATTCATAATAGTGTACCAAAGACCTATACCAATATTTGGCTCTATGCGAATTATTGTAAACTTACCACTACATTTTTGTCTATTTTGACCGGATTAATAGCATTTCTAAAAATATAACAACTTCAAAATAAATCTCGCAAGCGCGAAGTCCATGCTGTCATATATTTTTTATGGAACTAGAGTAGCAAGTGTTAAATTGTCAGCTAATTGCGAATGGAATCAACAGAAAAGTCTTCCATAAGAAGATGGCATCTTATGTTTAAAGATTGACGATTAAAGCGTGCATTTGTCGTAGCCGAAGAGTTGGAGCAACTAGTAAATCAAGAAATTAAACAAAATCTTGGTTATAATCTTAATGCACCCCCACATTAGTTTTTCCTCAAATTTCATGTTGATCCGGATTATCATAAAATCTATATCAGATAAGCTCTGCGAATATTAAATGACCAATAAAAAGACACGCAACATATTTATTTTAACACAGTGCTATTGAAACGAATGTGACGAATTTCATGATTAAATCATCACTTCATCATCGGAATTTGTCAATCAATGAAGTTTGTGGTACAAACTTGCAAGGTGAAGAAAGAGAGATAGCTGCTACGAAGGTACATGATGTTTTTCTCTCTCGCCGAACGTGATTGACACACTACTGATCCCACGTGACCTTCATAGCAGCTGACTCTCTCTTCGCCTTGTAACACGCCCAGCCATTGGTAGTCTATCTCCAGTAATAGAAGATTCGCATCGGATTTGTGACATCTCAACTTTCGACTGGCTCGACCAATCGGTATTATGCTCTATTAACTATTGTCTTGAGTTATTATTTGTGGGATAGTTTAAGTATCTTTGCTTATTTGTGGAATAGTTTAAGTTTTTCTGTGTTTGTTGGTAATTTTCCACTTATGAAATAAAAAACTAATTAAAGAAATCTTGGTACCAAAAGAATCAGTGAACCAAAAATCGCACACTTAAAATAGCAGATAAGTAAAAAATACACATCATTATTAGTTCACGGGCCCAGGCCCTTTTTTTTCTTTGATTAATAACAAGCTGAATTTTGAGGAACAGCTTCGTTTTGACGAGACGCCCAACTTTTCCCTCTACGAAAATTCTCGAAAACGGTAGCTAATAAAGCGCGGGGGTGTCAAACATTTCGATTTGGTGAGTGATCAATATTTAATACTAACAAGTAGTTTTTTACTTAAATCGCATGATAATTGTATGAAAAACTCTAAAAAAACTTTTGTCCTACACGTTCGATGGTTTTTCCGAAGCGTCTCCCACTCTTAACANACTTTGGTGCAAGGAGATAAATCCATATTTCTGGCAAATGACATTTCTGCTTACGCCTCCAATGCCTCCATTATGTTAAGAGATCCAGCCAAGTATGTGGATTATTCGCAAATAAACAGCATGACGTTCCGTGCATTTTCCCGCTCTCCATTTTTACTAATTATTTTGAGGAAGAAATTGCTAACAATTTCTGATTTTTAGCACATTAACTAACTGACTTTTATTTATATTATTTATAATTTGACTATCAATACAACTCGTCAAATTATTTCTAATATAACCATCTGTTGATATGATGTCGATGTTTGTGACATACGCGCTAATTACATTAAAAAGTGGTTTCAGTCAAAATTCTTATGTATACGAGTTATTTTTGGCTTCTGGAATAAAACTCAAATCATAAAAACCCCCGCAGATGGTTTGTTTGTCTGTTTTTGGCTGACTTTGACTCTTTCTTTTAGCATTTCAGACACTGTGTAGATAAAGTAAAAACGCAATGTGGATAGCGATGTCACTCATTTGCACTTAAATAATTTGACCAACTTTTTACCTACATGGTTTCACATATTGGTGTTGCGATTAGTTTTCTGAAAAACTTACTGTAAAATAAGATGCCTTGTAACGCTGTGTGAAATCTACATTTTAAAAACTTACCTGGCAAACAGATTTCACAGTTGGGACCTCCTGTATTATAAATACACTTCAGACATTCTCCAGTGGTACTATTACAGTTTCCTATAGCGTTAGGATCAATATTGAAGTTACATTCGCAAATTTCGCAAGGTGAGGCAGTTCCAAACGTCCCTGTTGGATCCCCGAAATACCCATCGGAGCAAGAATCACACCGATGACCTGTATATCCAACCGGACATTCCGTGCACATTATAATATCTTCATCTATCTGGATGCAAGGGCCGCCGTTTGGACAACCGCAAGGCAAGCAATCATCAGGCGTACCTAAAAAATGATAAATAAATAAGTACCTGTCGCTTTCATGAATATTAATACTTCACCTCCCATGGCATTGCCGTAGTACCCTCTCGCACACAATTCGCAGTTCTCTCCAGCAGTATTATGCTGACAAATACATCTTCCCGTCTCTGAGTCGCATATAGCGGCATGATTGTGGCAAACACATGGAGTACAAGGCATAAAAGGACCTCCTAATGCCGGATCGTGTCTATACCCTGGTGCACATGATTCGCAAAATTGACCGACGTAACCTAAATACAAAAAACCACTGTAAACATAGGATTTTCAAAAAAGTAACACAAAACCAGTTATTCACATAATGCCATTTTTAACATAAATCGTTTTAATGCAGTAAGAAATAATTCTAGTGGCTTTCGAATTAGCCAAAAAAATTATGTGGCAGCAGATGCATCCATTCCCGAATAGCTTCCATGAATGAGTTCATTAGAAAGAAAATTACACCTTTAGTATTATAGATCCTTATAGCTTTAATTTATTCAAATGAAAAATACGCGGACATGATTTTCGTGTATGGATATTGCAACGGCAGTACTGCCGCCTCAGTTAGAATATCAACGACGATGTCCAATATCCAATAGGACCTTCACAACTCTTCGATTAACAGGTGCGTTCTCTAAACCGACTCGTAGAGAAGTTATGCGAAAAACAATGCTGCAGAAGTGCTTGAGCTTGTTAAAAACGATCCTGGTACTAGTACGAGAAGAATTCCTGTACTTACTGGACAAAGTAAGCACTTTACGAGAAAACGGACTGCTTCTCTATCATTACCAACCGGTACAAGAACTTCTCTCCATGGATCTTCCCTAAAGAGTTCGTCTTTGTGAATGGTGGAGCAATCATCGGGATACTCTTTCAAGAACCCTTTTCTGTAACGAAGCTACATTTACAAGAGATCGAATCGACAATTTCCACAACGATCATATGTGAGCAATCGAAAACCTTCATGCTATTCGAGAAATCCATTGTCAGAGAAGATTCTCCGTAAAGGTTTGTGCTGGAATAATTAATAATGAAATTATCGTACCACATTTCTTCGACGGAAATTTGAACAGCGAGCTTTTTTGGAAAACGATCTACCTCTACTACTACAGGATATGCCTCTTCAAATCAGACGGGCGATCTCCTTTTACATGATGGTGCTCCGTTCCATTATGGAAGAGGTGTCACTAATTTTTCCCAGTGAAAAGTATCCAAATCGATGGATAGGTCGTGGTGGTACCATTATTTGGCCATCGCGATCTCTGGACCCCAACCTTTGGACTTTTTCATCTGGGGCCATGTGAAGATACTTACCTATTCAATGGGAAAGCTGAATCACAGGGACCAACTCATTGAGGAGATTCAGACAGCGTTTAATAAAGTGAAAAACAATATGGAGAACTTCAACTGGAACGAGAGCTTCGACAGAGGATCGAGTTATGCATTGCACAAGGCGGTAGTCACATTGAGCAGCTTTCATAATTATACTGGCTTTGCGCTTTTATTAAAATAAACCACTTTTTTTTCTAAGCCTTCTAGTCGGAACAATGTCTCTTTAGCAACTACTCATACGACCTGGCAACTTCAAACCCCGATATTTCAAGAACCGTTGGGAATTCGGGAAAAGTAAATAGAATATTTTTTTATTAATATCAGTGTCATAGAATTCATATACGAAGTATCTCGGATACCTTGGCGGCCATCTTGTATTGGACTATGTTTTATCAACAAACTAACATTTAAGTTTTTCACAAATTTGTAACTCTCCTATGTTACTCATTTGAATAAATTGCTGAAAAACTAAACTGCTCACTAATTTGGTACTTGTTCTATAGCGCTTTAAGTAAATTTAAAAAGTTCACTTCATTCTTCATTTCTTCATCACGACTTCATTTATTTGGTGCTTAACTCAAATTATAATTGAAATATATGAGATAAATGCACGATCACACTAAACTAAGGCCCGGTACTTTGAGTCTCGGTTAAGCCTTGTTTAAGTAATCAGATGATTAGACTGTACATATACTAATTTATTTTATAATTCACAGTCTAATCGCCTGATTAGTTAATCAAGTCTTAATGGAGACTCAAAGTACCAGGCCTTAGAGTCGCCATAGTTACTAGTAGATATAAGTACACGGTGGTCCCGAGGTAATGGGCCAAAATTCATGGGTAGATTCCCGAAGCAAAAATATTGCGATTTAGACGAACTTACCTTAGTCCAAAAGTTGATAGTTAAAGAGATACAGGGTGTTAAATGTAAAATATTATTTTAATTTATTTCCATTTATTTCTTAATAAATGCAATTTATCAACTTATTTTAATATACTGAATACTGATATACTGAATATATTAAACAAATCTCTATTTCGGAAATATATGAGGGGGGGCCCAAAACTGGACACAATTTTTTAAAAATACAGAACTTATTTTTTCGGGTTTCAAACATTAGTCACCTTCGAAGTGCTCTCCGTCAATACTAATGGTACTGGTTCACATGTTTTTTCCAATGCGTGAAACATATTTCGCACTCGTCTTTTCCGATGTCTTGCAACGCCGGCAAAACGTCTCCTTTTCAGCATCCTGTTCATCCGAGGGAACAAAAAAAGTCACAGGGCGTCAGATCAGACGAGTAAGGTGGGTGACACGCGCTTTTTCGTCAAAAAACACGCACATAGATGGTTGTGCGGGCTGAAGCAATGTCATGGTGGAAGAACTAGTCCCCACTCCCCACAAAACGCCCATTTCAATTGAATACTCTCGGCAACCATCTCNGTGGTTGTGTGGTTGTGACCAAACAAATAGATTTTTTGTTTTGTATGTTTATTGTTTGGAGGAGGCGAAGAAAACTGGACGTAAACTGGAGTTTCTGACTTGAAACATTTAGAAATTAAAATTAAGAAACACGAAAATTCTCCTAAACACAAAAATAAGTTGGTGAGTTTTTTACTTTTAGGAAGAGTAAATATTGAGTTAAAACAGTTAAGAAAAATCGATTGCTTCTTTTAAAAATTTTAAATATCTTAAAACTATGTGGTAATGTAACCTTTCTCTTCATGGACATAATAAAAAAAGTGACTCGGTAAACAAAGGGGTATTTTTAGAACTGATAGACTATAGTGCAAAAATTGATCCCGTTTTAGATAAACATCTTAGTGATGCCCATGTTTTTAAAGGACCTTCAAAAACTATACAGAATGAAATATTACAGTAATCTACACAATTATATCCTAACTGGGTTGGTTGATCGATTATCCACTTCAGCCCCCACACGTTGGAATTTTATTTCTCGCATTGTATCTAGGTAGCTACTATACACACTGACAGTATTCATTTTGGGGTACTTGCAAAACACAATGACCTTCAAATTCCTTAAAATTTTTCGCCTGCAGCGCTAAACGGGAGTGCCTCCCCCCACACCCCCCGCAATTCTTATGATGTACATCCTCTTTTCAAAATGCGCCCCCCCTGTATTCAAACCCACGGGCCACCACTGCTTGGCGGCCATCTTATATTGGACTATATTTTATCAACAAACTAATATTTAAGTTTTTTCACTAATTTGTAACTCTCCTATGTTACTCATTTGAATAAATTGCTGAAAAACTAAACGGCTGAACCAATTTGGTACTTGTTCCATAGCACTTTAAGTAAATGTAAAAAGTTCAGTTCATTCTTCATTTCTTCATCAATACTTCATTTATTTGGGCCGTAACTCAAATTATAATTGAAATATGTGATATAAATGCATGTTCATACTAAGCTTTGAATCCCTATAGTTACTGGTAAGTATATTTAACAAAAAATGGCCCGATTTTGGGATCAGCAGTACTTAATTATCATATAACGATTTAAAATCAAAACTTCCATTTGCCAATAAGTTTTAACAGAAAAAATATGATAAAAATATTTAATTAAATGGGTTTTATTATTTATTTATTGTATCTTAAATTTAAGATAACTGCAAATTTCAAGAGCTTCATTATGATAATCCAAACCATCCCTCGTGGGTACATTATAAATAGAGCTCGGGTTTTCGTCGGGTTATAAACATAGAAATAAACAAATAGGTATAAATAAAAATAAATACATTTGCGTACTTCATCAGCGAAAGGTCATTTATTACCCCTTGGCGTGTTCAACATTATTAGAATATTACCAAAACACGAAGCAAACGCGAAGCCAATAACTTCCGACGCGACGGCTATGATCATCCGACCAAGTCCCGAGCTCTAGACTCGTTCCACAATGCTGTTTATACATACCTATATGGCCTCAATATTCATCGAATCATTGTAATCGCCATACATATTCGATAATAATTATTGGATACCTAGTTTTATCATTCAATTTATTAGATACTGACAAAGAACAATAAATCGCTGTCGATGAATTGAAGCGAATGTACGAGGGTGGTCTGAAAAGTTTCCGACCTAACAAAGATACAAGACATTTTTTCAGATTTTTTTTTTATTTTTCAACGTAGTCTCCTTGTAACTCTACACATTTCTCCCAGCGATGCTCCCATCTCTGTAACCCGTCCAAATAGTACTCGGCGTTTTTCTCTGCAANTCTTCTCGACCCCATACAACGCGGTGTAATATGTATCCTCCATCGATGATGTAAGTAGCATATGTTTTGAGTGTATATTCAATCAGAATCGTATAGTTTGTATGTATTAGCTAAACAGACCAATATTGTTTCTTATATTAAACGTCCAATGATGTATATAAGCGGCGTACGCGTGTATAATATTATATTCGATGTTTGAAATGGTGATAACTCAGGAATGGTGATTCGTAGGACAATTTTTGTAGACAATAGGGTTGTTGATCAAATTTCAAAAAGTAGATAATATAATTCTACACGTACTAACTAGTGTGTATACACAATTAGAGATTGAGAAATGCGTCAGAACAGTTTTAAAATAATTATTTAAAACTGTTTTTTTATAACATTTTAAAACGGCTGTGACGTCATAAGGGGCACCTTGTAGTGAAATTATGTGTAAATAATTGCGTAAAGGATAAACATTGGAAGAAGACGCTCTGTCAACACTGTCAGTAGTGTCAGTCTGTCAGTGACACTGTAGTATAAATTATTTTAGTCTATGAGTTATTTTCCTTAATCTTCAAATTCCTTTATTAAGTAAAATTATTATTTAGTAATAATCATTTAATAGATTCCCATATAATTAAAGCAGAATGTATGAATCGGGATTTGTGAAAGCTACTTCGCAAATTTGACCGAAAATTGATATTTTTATGATCATGAACTGAATTTTTGAAAAGAGACGATCGTTTTAATATTGGCGAAATCAGAGGTATCAAAGCAGTCAGGTAAGGATCAACATATTTAATGAATGATTGTATTGTGTTTATTTATATAAAATACCTATTTATTTATAAAAATTTATAGTGCAGTTCGGGAACCTTATGGAGATAATGCAACTGGCTTTGTGAAATGTGGAACAAAACACCACTTAAATTTTGTTGAATCCATTACAATCAGGAAATTAATAATAATCACAAATACTCTTAATTGATAGACTGCTGTCACTAGTGTCACTTTTGCTTAAAAAACAGGAAACAGGGCAGCAGGGTTTGATGAACAATTTTGACATATTTTCTTCTTCAAAATTACACAATAGGAACGCTACTAGCTTCTTGTTCAATTACCCCTTATAACGTCAGACTAGTTTTAGGTAACGCAAAAATTCGTAAATGATTTCTACCACTAATTTGTCATAATATATTTAAAATTTGACCATACAGGCAGGTTCTTTTATATAAAATCTTTGACTCAACAACAATTTGTATATGGTTTGTTTTTATAGTGGACAACCCTATTGTATGATCCACAACTTTTGTCTGATCTATTTTTATGATAACACTTACCGTTGACGATAAACATGCAAAAAAACGATATTTGCGACCTTTGACCTTGAATACATTTTTTCGCATGAATGGGATTGTTGGGGACTTTTGACATTTTATTCATAATAGTGTACCAAAGACCTATACCAATATTTGGCTCTATGCGAATTATTGTAAACTTACCACTACATTTTTGTCTATTTTGACCGGATTAATAGCATTTCTAAAAATATAACAACTTCAAAATAAATCTCGCAAGCGCGAAGTCCATGCTGTCATATATTTTTTATGGAACTAGAGTAGCAAGTGTTAAATTGTCAGCTAATTGCGAATGGAATCAACAGAAAAGTCTTCCATAAGAAGATGGCATCTTATGTTTAAAGATTGACGATTAAAGCGTGCATTTGTCGTAGCCGAAGAGTTGGAGCAACTAGTAAATCAAGAAATTAAACAAAATCTTGGTTATAATCTTAATGCACCCCCACATTAGTTTTTCCTCAAATTTCATGTTGATCCGGATTATCATAAAATCTATATCAGATAAGCTCTGCGAATATTAAATGACCAATAAAAAGACACGCAACATATTTATTTTAACACAGTGCTATTGAAACGAATGTGACGAATTTCATGATTAAATCATCACTTCATCATCGGAATTTGTCAATCAATGAAGTTTGTGGTACAAACTTGCAAGGTGAAGAAAGAGAGATAGCTGCTACGAAGGTACATGATGTTTTTCTCTCTCGCCGAACGTGATTGACACACTACTGATCCCACGTGACCTTCATAGCAGCTGACTCTCTCTTCGCCTTGTAACACGCCCAGCCATTGGTAGTCTATCTCCAGTAATAGAAGATTCGCATCGGATTTGTGACATCTCAACTTTCGACTGGCTCGACCAATCGGTATTATGCTCTATTAACTATTGTCTTGAGTTATTATTTGTGGGATAGTTTAAGTATCTTTGCTTATTTGTGGAATAGTTTAAGTTTTTCTGTGTTTGTTGGTAATTTTCCACTTATGAAATAAAAAACTAATTAAAGAAATCTTGGTACCAAAAGAATCAGTGAACCAAAAATCGCACACTTAAAATAGCAGATAAGTAAAAAATACACATCATTATTAGTTCACGGGCCCAGGCCCTTTTTTTTCTTTGATTAATAACAAGCTGAATTTTGAGGAACAGCTTCGTTTTGACGAGACGCCCAACTTTTCCCTCTACGAAAATTCTCGAAAACGGTAGCTAATAAAGCGCGGGGGTGTCAAACATTTCGATTTGGTGAGTGATCAATATTTAATACTAACAAGTAGTTTTTTACTTAAATCGCATGATAATTGTATGAAAAACTCTAAAAAAACTTTTGTCCTACACGTTCGATGGTTTTTCCGAAGCGTCTCCCACTCTTAACATGTTAAAATAATATGATCTCAGGGGTTATTAATAACCACCTAATTTTTTCACAGATGCTTGGTAATTATTATGACAATTCAGTGACATTTTTGTCCTACACGTAAAATGGAAGGTTTTCCTAGTCCTACACTGGAAAAGTGTCATTTCCACGGGTACAATTTTCTTATTAATAACAACCTAATTTTCGATTTTTTCTTTTGAGAACAATGTTTGAATCAAGATTTTACCAATGTCCTGCAAAAAAAGTGGAAGCTAGTAATCAAAACAAATAAAATTATACTGGAAATCGTAACTGTACATTGATGTTGAGAATTGTATTATAAATAAATATACATAAGGATATATACCTGTGACACATACTTACACACGCTTACACACACTAACCTTCCCTAGCTAACTTATGTAGNTGAAATACAGAACTTATTTTTTCGGGTTTCAAACATTAGTCACCTTCGAAGTGCTCTCCGTCAATACTAATGGTACTGGTTCACATGTTTTTTCCAATGCGTGAAACATATTTCGCACTCGTCTTTTCCGATGTCTTGCAACGCCGGCAAAACGTCTCCTTTTCAGCATCCTGTTCATCCGAGGGAACAAAAAAAGTCACAGGGCGTCAGATCAGACGAGTAAGGTGGGTGACACGCGCTTTTTCGTCAAAAACCACGCACATAGATGGTTGTGCGGGCTGAAGCAATGTCATGGTAGAAGAACCAGTCCCCACTCCACACAAATCGGCCATTTCAATCGAATACTCTCGCGCAATCGCCTCAAAAAACTCAGGTAGAAGACTTGGTTGACTGTTTGCTGCTCAGGCACGTATTCTGAGTGAACAATTCCACAAACGTCTAGAAAACATATCAACATTGTCTTCTCGGCCGATTTGACTTGCTGGGCCTTTTTCGGGCGAAGGGAGTTTGTGGCCTTCAACTACGACGACTGTTTGTCTCAGGGCCATAAGACCACGATTAATCCCGGTGATGATTTTGTCGAAAAAGTTCTCGTCCACTTCCAAGTGGTCCAACAAGTCACGGCAAGCGACGACACGAGCCGCCTTTTGATTAAAAGTCAACAAACGGGTGACGAATTTCGCCGAGATTCATCTCATTTGCAAGTCTCCACAAGACAATTCAGCAAGTTCACATATTACGCCTTGCATCCTTGTACACAAGCGCACAAATTTTTTTCACGATTTCATCAGTTCTGGACGTGGAAGGCCGACCCGGCGTTGTATGTCTTCGACCTACATGTCGTCGCATTTGAATAGCGAGTACCACTCATACACTTCAGATCTATTTAAGGCATATTCTTTATAAGTTGTAGACAACAGTTCAACCGCGTTCGATGCACTTTACCGAGCAGAGAACACAATTTCAATGCCGCACGCTGTTCTCTAATATCAACCATTATAATAAATCGAAGAGGTCGAAGTAGTCGTCACAGGAAATCTGTCTCAGAGGCTCACTACAACCATCTCAAGTGACGGCACTTAACAGACTCACTCATGACGAGTAACACCCATCTAGCGAGAGAAGCCCGAACTACAAGAGCGGCGCGCGCAGCGAATTTCGTCCGGTTATTTTTGGATCCCCCCTCGTCAAGTGTCTTTTCTAGCAGCACGTATTGCCAAAAAAATTGCTCATCAAAAACAAAAGAAAAGAAATTTCAGCCTTATTAGAGACGCAGTTTCATTTGGTACATGTACCTCGAATTTTTTATATTACCTGGAGGGCAACTACAAGACTCAACCCATAGCGCTGGTTCACCAGCTACACCTCTTAGAGCAGTTTGTAGCTTGACGTCGTCTAAAAATCCAACACCTTCTGGGGCAAAGGTTCCTCTTATTTTAATGGCTGTCAAATTGGTTAATATTGATATAAACGATTGCGCCGACAATCTTGGCTGCCATCCGTAATTTGAATGTTCGTGAAGACGGAATTTGTATATTTGATTCTGAAAAATATTTAATTACATCATACATACAAACGTTTTTAAATTATGTATTTACCTGTATCGTTGGTATACCGTTTTTTTGGGCAAATATTGTGTTGGTTACCGAAGCCCCGTTTCCTTCTAAGATAATGTCGGTAGCTGTAGGATTAGGTCTGTTATCGCCTATTCTCAACGCAAATTCCAGTAATTGATTATAAGATGCTCTTTGATCGCCCAAAAATCTATCAGGGGCCAAGTAGTACACAGATTCCTCTCCAAGGGCCTGCACAGCAATACTCTGTCCAATTCCGTCATACTTGATCTCAACTGGCCTTCCATACTCATCTTGAGCAGACCACCTCTCCGTGCTTTTTGCAAACGAGGACTCCAATACGTATTTTGAAAACCCTAGTGCGGAGTCACATTCAGAAGAATGTCCATAACAAAAGCAAGGAGTGCACCCAAACTCATTGTCAAAAGCTAGATGGAAATATCCAGGTCTGCATTCACTGCACTGTTTACCTTCGACGTTTTCTTTGCACTGACATGTTCCCCTGCCGTCACAATTGGGTTGATTATACGCGGATCCTCTGTCAAAGCAGCCACAAGTTTTGCATCCCTCGTTGGTGAAGTCGTAATAGTTCACGGCGCATCTGTCACACTTATCTCCTGTTACACCAGATTTGCATTGGCATTTGCCTTCTCCATTACACTGGAGGCTATGAGAACCAGTGCTGTCACAGTTGCATGCTATGCAATAACCATCCTCTCTCATGTAATAATTTTCTCGACAGTGTTCACAATTAGGACCATCGCGATTTGCATTGCAGTCCAAACAATGACCCCCGTGACCAGTCTGATCGTACAACTTTTCGTCGAAAAAGCACCGGTTTGAGAAGCCATTACAATTGCATTCTGGAAAAAAAGAAAGTGAATAATTAGTACAGAAATTCAAGAATACTTTCTAATTGTATGTCATAGCACCAAAGCATTAATGAACCAAGGTCTACGGCGACTGGTTTTCGAGGATACTGAAATTTAAAACTATTTTCGATGATGTATGGCATAAATTGATCAGAAAATATTACACATATTCAAAATCGATGCTTCATTTTGAAAATACAAGGTGTTAAGCTTTTGTAAAAAAATTGCTATTTCGCAAATATCTTAAATACCCTTTACCTAATTTGTGTTATTTGTAGTGTTATGGAGCTAATTTAACACTAACTTGATTAGATTTAAGTCCAGTGGCGTCCCGAGCGGTACCTTAACGAATATTTTTGACAAAAAATGTACGCCAATGACTTTTTTGTAATTTTTATATATTTTTTGAATTAAGCAACTAAAAATACAACTTTTTTGTCTCCTGAATGTTTTTCGTAGTTTGATTAATTTTTTAAGGGAAAAAATAAAATCCACTTAATTGCATATCCCTGAACGTCACAAGAAACATGGGAAAAATTTCTTTTGGAATTTATCATTTTTTTATATTTTTTTATTAATAACATGTAACATCTAAATAACATAAAGTACAAATAACACTGCCATAGCATAAGTAATAAATTTCACTATTAAATAAATTTAAATAGGAACAGAATTAAATTGGAAAAATGTAAACAGGAACATTTCAATTTAAATAATGTACCTGAAAGTTTAATTAAAGTTTCTAAATTTTCACTGTATAGAATTCTCTAAAAGCATAATCTTTTAAAAAATAAATATATACAGGGTGGTCCCGAGGTAATGGGCCAAAATTCATGGGTAGATTCCCCAAGCAAAAATATTACGGTTTAGCCGAACTTACCTTAGTTCAGAAGTTGATAGTTAAGGAGATACAGGGTGTTAAATGTAAAATATTATTTCAGTTTTTTTTTATTTAATTCTGAACAAATGCAAATATATTCACAAAATTTTGGGGATTGGAGTTCTTTGAGTAAAGGAATTGAAATCTGTTCGCAGTTTGGTTAAAGTTCATAGAGGGCGCTAGCTGCAGTAGATTAAATGTGTTAAAAACGACATAACTTTTTTGTACTTTAAGGTATCTCATCTTTGGTAAGAAATTCTTATTTTTCAACTTTTTTACACAAAAAGGTATACTTTATTAATGTAGCTATCTCGCACCGTTTTTGAGATATTTGGTTTTGAAACTTCCAATGTTGTTGCATTAAATTATAATTAAGTACCTACAGGTATTAATAATTTAGCGGTAAAGTTTCTTATGTAGGATTTGGACGAAAATCAAATAATTAACGTCTTCTACTTGTCTTATTGCTGTAATTTGTATGCTAATTTCTATTAAGTATTATTCGTATCTAATTAAAATAACATCTTAGCTTACAATTTAAATTGTATACTCGTATACATAAATGTGAGATAGAATGTCGAGATTTTCGTTTTGGAGTTGAGTTTAAAATCAGTTGTTTATGGAGAAACTATAAACACTTGCGAAGAACTTTAGCAGCAGGTTTTAAATGCTGCAAAGTCATTTCGCATTGAGGATTTATACTTTAAAATAAGACAATCTTTTAATAAACGCGTTGATAAATGTATTGAAGTTGAAGCTGGAAATTTTTAGCAATTATTGTCAAAAAGACATATTTTTTACAATGTTTACTCTACAGTTCATTACAATTTTTAATTCTAAATAAAACTTTGTTTTTGACATTTCTAAATTATTTTAATTAATTCAACTATTACCATTGGAAGTTTCAAAGCCAAATATCTCGGAAACGGTGCGAGACAGCTACTTTCATAAAGTCTACCTTTTTCATGTAAAAAAAGTTGGAAAATAAGAATTTGATACCAAAGATGAGATACCTTAAAGTACAAAAAAGTTATGTCGTTTCCAACACATTAAATCTACGGCAGCTGGCGCCCTCTATGAACTATAACCAAAATGTGAACAAATTTCAATTCCTCTATCCAAAGAACCTCAAACTCCAAAATTTTGTGTAGATATTTGCATTTATTAAGAAATAAATAGAAATAAACTAAAATAATATTTTACATTTAACACCTTGTATCTCTTTAACTATCAACTTTTGGACTAAGGTAAGTTCGGCCAAATCGCAATATTTTTGCTTCGGGAATCTACCCATGAATTTTGGCCCATTATCTCGGGACCACCCTGTATATAAAATTAGGCAAATGACCACAAAACATTCGTATTCACAAAATATAAGTTAAAAATAATGAAAAATTAAAATGCTTTGAAATACAATGCATTTGCAATGGCCATCTTAGTTAACTAGTTTTTGCTTGTTAATACTGCAATGAAATAATTGTGTTTGTATTTATTTTTATTTTTTTACATAAATCAAGAAAATTGCTTAAAACTTGTTTTATACGTCTTGTCATGTATCATGGAAGTTAAAGAAAAAAACAAACCAGATTATGGCCGACCAAGAATGTCTATGTAGCCATGTACCTGTCTAAAGCCTCGTCGTAAACAATGGTAAAATACCTTAAACCATATAAAGCAGTGTTCGCATATATTAAATTATTATTCCGGGAAAAGATGTTATCTTTTAACTCTTCCCTCACTAGATTCTCATATTTACCTTGCTATGCTTTGTATATACAAGGATATTTTCATAAAATAGGTTTAACATACTTAGAGGGTATAGAATTTAAATATGTATATATGTATGAGTCACTAGGGGGGAGACGGCCAAAGTAGGTATCAGTTTATTTGGAATACCGCGATTAGTGATAGGAAAATATTTAATTATTCTCTAAAGGCAAGTCCACATTACACTGATATAAATTGTGGAAATTCATATTGGATTTTTACATATTTCTAATGGTTTTTAAATTTAAACATTAAAGAACAAACACGTCACTAAAAAAAATTTGTGTGTAAAATTAAATATATACTTTGTCCTTTAAATAATTAGGGAGATCTTTACATAAATGGCTTTATATTTTTTTTAATTTTTACTGATCTCGTTAATTTAAACCTGCTGTGCCAAGTTTTTCATTGTACTATTATTTTATGAAAGCTGTTTAATTAATTGGTGTAAATAATATTATTTATCTTTAGGTATCTTAGGTAGGTAGGTAAAATTTATATTTTAGGTACTCTGAAGAATATGTATCATTTACTGCATTATCAAATCTTCTTAAGTTTATTTAATGTAATTTTCCCTTCACTTAAATACGTCCCAACCTGCCTTGAAAAAATATTTTAATATGTAATAAAAGATATTCTTTGTAAAAATATTACAAAATAATAGTGCCTTCATTTTAAAAATACTCTGTAGTTTTTCTGTTTTTTAATAAAATTACACTTCAGGTGCAATAAATATACAGGGTGTCCTGGCACTTGATACAAAAATATAAGGTCAAAATAATATCAGTTCTTCATATAATTTTTTTCATACGGGCCTTCGTTAATAAGTTACAGGCCCTCAAAGGTGAAAATTAAAAAGTTATTTTTATTTACAGTCTCTAAACTATTAATTTCAGCATGATGCAAATTTAGTGATCGATAACACATGCGTATAGCTTGTTTCTGATGTTGTAAGTGAAACTTCATTATGCCCAGAACGCCAGGGATGGACTATGCCCAATGGTTAACAACCCAGAATTTTTGCATAGATGAGGATCGCAATCTGCCTGTACCAAAAATAAGTTACCCTCTTCGTTCAACTCGGTAAAATTAACAGTTTAGATAATATTTCTAATTTTATGTCACAGTGCACATCGAGCCGCGCCTCCACCATTTTTTGTTTTTAATTTTTAATTGGACATAATCATTATGTTAAAATCGTACATATTTTTAAAACAAGATCCTAGAAAATCTTACTGTCTGCTAATGTAATTCTCACTAACAAAATTCGACAAACACACTTTACACATAACACAAAATAGAAAAACGAAACAAGATACATTTTATATATTTTCAATATGGGCACCTTCTACCTCCACACACTTCCTAAGTTTACGAATGTTATTTGTTTGAACACAGAAAAGCATTCCTGGGGTAGTGATTGAATAGGTCCATACGTTTTTGAGGAACGTCTAAATGGACATCGATATTTGGAGTTTTTGCAGAATAATTTGCAGCCACTATTAGACGATGTTCCGTTAATTACCCGAAGAAACGTTTGGTTCATGCACGTTGGGGTTCCTCCACACTTCAATAATGATGTACGACATTATTTATCCATTGTGTATAATAATAAATGGATTCGAAGAGGAGGCACAATTTCATGGCCACCACGTTCTCCAGACTTTAACCCGATTGACTTCTTCCTGTCGAGATACCTGAAAAGTTTAGTGTACGCATCCCCAGTACAGACAAGAGATAAATTGCTACAAAGAATTAATTTCCATTGTGATAATATTAGACATATCCCAGAAATACTTTTTCGTGTGCAAACAAATAACATTTGTAGACTTCGAAAATGTATTTTGATAGTTTTCTTTCTTTTAAATTATTTTTTAAACTTTCTTTAACTTATTCTTGTTTTGTTTTCCTATTTTATGTTATGTGTGTTTGTCAAATTCTGTTAGTGAGAATTACATTAGCAGACAGTTAGATTTTCTAGGCTCTTATTTTAAAATATATACGGTTCTAACATAGTAATTATGTCTAATAAAAACAGATTGTAAATAAAAATAACTTTTTATATTTCATCTTTGAGGGCCTGTAACTTGTTAACCAAGGCCCGTATGGAAAAAATTTATATGAAGAACTGATATTGTTTTGACCTCATCTATTTGTACTCGACTTTTTTGTATCAAGTACCGGGACACCCTGTACAATTACACTGATTACATCAACAAACGTTTTTTGTAAATGACAGTACATGGCATATTTAAAAGTTATTTAATATTTTATAAATCAAAAAACATTGCACTTGGACTTCTTATCCAAGTATCCGATTAAGAGTTGCAGGGAAGAAGTCCGTTTTTCAAATTATGCAGAGGAAAACATAATCGATAGAAAAATGGAAAACGATAATAAATTTACCTTAACATTATTTTTCATAGTTTTGGAATTCAGGGCTTAGTTTTTTCACAACTATCCACAATTGCAATGCAGATTTTAAAGCTAAATAGCCACGATCTCTTATAATGAATGTAACAAAATCAGTTGTTGCGTCTATATAACCACAAATTAATTTTTGGTTTCTTCATTCTTGATAACGTCAAAGTAATAAATTAAACAACGGCTTTATTTTTATTATTCTAAGTTTTTCTTTTTTCTCGAAATTCATTTTTTTTTCTTATTTAAATCTGTTTCAATTTCACTTTATTCTCTTTCTAAATAATTTTTGTAATTTTTTTTAATTATATGTGTGTTTGTGTAATAAAGAAACGGAATATTCAAACCTGTATCAGTACATTTCATACCGAGATATATTAGAAATTCATGAGTATGGCAAAATTTCACGAGACAAAAATTTTTAAAAAAATATGACGTACATTTAAAAAAGTAGAAGGCAGTCAAAGGACTGGAAGTCCCAAAAATACTACGCCTTGTTTGTTATTTTCTTAACGTTCCGGGAATATATTCATATAAATAATTGGTGCATACGAAGTCCCTAGCTGGAATATTTTAGTTGTGTATATGAAAAATTACCATTTCATGGTACCACATTGAAAAAGCCTACTGGGATATAGGTACTTTTAGTTGGTGTTAACTTTTGTATACAGTGATATTAAATTCTACCCAGATATTTTAAGGTAAATACTACAACCATCAGAAAATACACCAACTTTTTTCTAAAAAAACTTTTTTCGGAAAGGGATAATATAAATGGTAAATATTTTTTGCGATATCTTAAAAGTTTTTCGAGATATCTAATTCATATTTTAAAATTAGACTCAAGGCATATGGTCAATAACTGTTTCATTCACAGCTATTTAATTTCTACTTCGGTGTTGTAAATTTTTGAAAAATAACTTTATGGTAGTCTATTAAAAAAAAAAAAGTACACTTGTTTAATTGTGATAAATCGAGTAGTTCCGAAAAATTAAATTTACATACCCGAATGTACTAGTGATAATAATTTTTTCACATGCATTGAAATGTCCATAAAACAAGTAGGTACTTTAGATGTGTTACCGCTTGAGAGAATAACAAATTCGCATAAAACAATGTATGTATTTTAGAATATTTTCTTGAAATGTCTGTCGTGATTATTTATGGAAATTGTGTGCATATTATAATATCGATATTATGAAATTTTACATACGGGGCATGAATTTTTTCAAATTTTTAATTCAATTTCAAGAAATTTAAATACTTTGGTTAAAAAAATTTCAAATACCAGTAATTTGGCAAAAACTAAAGATATCACAAACTTTTTTTCATTTTGTTCGTTTAGAAATGTAGTTAAAAAAAATACATAAAAATAATGCATTTTCAGTTTTTTTAGTTTTTTAATTTTTAAACCAAGAAAGGGCGTTCTGAAAAAAAGTGGCGTTTTTTTTCTTCAATAAATTCTCAAAAAAATCGCCTTTAAATATGTAAATTTATGATCGATAACTTTGAACTTCCAATGCCCTCACCTACGATTTTTTTTTAGTTAAAATGCGTTGAGTGTGCAACGGGAGAGATAATTTTTTGATAAAAACTACATCTTGTTTTCGAAGATATTTGATATTTTCGATGACGCTGCAAACGTCCATTAAAAATAATAATATCGAAACAATACCTACGACTTAGACCTATCATTTGTCAAAGTAGGTCTCAAATTCATCCAGAAATTAATAAACGATAACTGAATAAGAATGTTGCATTTGAAAAAATGAAGTTAAGTAACGCCCAGAATAAATACGACATTTGGTAATAAATCAATAAACAGAAATTAATGTGATAAAGCAATTTTTTGTATTACTGGCATATAACATTTATAAAATATCTTAATATATGCGCTATTAGTCAATAATTCGACAACCTAAATATACTGTGCATAATAAAAAAACATATTTTACTTACGTTTGCATTCGTGAGCATTCTTAGCTGTAGCCCTGTGCCAAGGGGCGTCGTTGTAAAAGGGCAAGCATTCGTTGCAGTCCGGCCCTGCGGTGTTATGTTCGCATTTGCACACTCGCCTCGTAGTTCCATCAACCCCCGTCGAACCTATGCATTCCGATGCGTGGCCGTTGCATTTGCACCGCGCTCCAACAGCTACATCAGCAATGGCGTAGAAATACGAACGCAGAACCTGCTCGTCCCCGAAAACTTCATCTCCGAATGTATTGAGACGGTCCAGACTTATCCGTATTTCCGTGGCAGTGACCCATTCCTATTTTAACAAAATTGCAATAATATATTGTTTATACTTTAAAGCTTATTTAATCAAAATGAAATTTAAGGCAATGTTCGTGTTATATGAGGTTGAAGGGAAAATACCAAAAAATATCTTCCATAAATATGCACCAACGGAGGAGGCTGAAATAGAAATAAAGTAAGATGTTTATACACTACTAGAAAAAAATTAAAGGAACAAACAATTCTCATGAATTTATTAGTGAAACAAATATTTTTTTTAAATACGGTTATCGAGCAATCAAAAGAAATACCTTGAAACAAAATCTTCCAAAAATATAAATTTTTTTGCAATATCCATGGACATGGAATTTCAAACTCAATCAATACAGGGTTCAGTTAGCTTATTTATTCAACTTTAATTTAATTTTTGAAAGATCTCCGTGCGACTATTGGTTGCCGAGATATCGACGGTTGATTGAAAAATAACACTTTTGTCTTTAATCATCGATATCTCTACAAGAAATTATTGCACAGGACAGTGGCGACTCGTCAGGTGACGCAAGAGACGCACCGCTTCACCTAAAATTTGCACGGTGAACGCCTTCGTTGAGCGCGAACATCAACCTCGTACATACCATACAACATATAGCATACGCAAGTGACGCAGATTGAAATCAGTCCCTATTCTGCTTCCCTTCGTAGCGATATTTATGGCGGTTGTCATGGCAACGAGGCGGCCAATTCGAAATTAAACTACGGCGTGGGGGAACGAGTGACAGAAATTGAAGCAGCATGCACGATATAACGGTTCTTAGTTATATTTGTTTTGTATAGTAATTGTACAAATGCTTCCTATGTATGATCCAGTATGTATTTTATTGGAAATACTTTTTTCCAGATGGAAAATTGAGGACAAAAAGGATTTTTTAAATTGCGAGAGACCTGTGCCTTATTCTCTCGATATGGAAAAAAGGGGTACGTCAAAAGACAACGCGTCCGTTCGAAAGTTTCGGAATGAATGGTATTCGGAGTATATGTGATTGTGTGTTGTGTGGAACTGTTCATTTGAAAAAACTTTTCTGTATGCTGTGTTTAATTGTGGGTGTTAAGTCGGGCGTGTAGAATAAGAAGGGATGTTACAATTTTGGAAACGTCACGCAAGGCTGTGGTAATCACAAAGCTTCTTTGGAGTGCGGTGTGCGTTAATGTTCTCAGAAGTCCACAAGCCGAACTAATATTTCTATTTTTTTATAAAATCTAAATGAAAATCCTTCTCACTAACGTTAGTTTTTCGGTAATATTGCAAATGCAACTAAAAATTTCCAGATTCATTTAAAGCCGTTTGACCTTGAAAATTTGAAACTTTTCGTCAGCGCCAGCGGCGCTTTTTTTTCTTTTTAGTCAATCATTGAATATGCTTCACCTATTCTCAATGTCACGAGCAGCCACTGGCACAGGAAATCCAAGGACAGTTTTGAAAACTTGAATAAAGTCTCTATAAGAACGTATCACGGTTTTCGAAGAATTATTTTTTTTCATCTTTTCATTTTAAATTTGAAAAAAGTGCAAAAAATTACTTTTTACAGTTTTTTAGAAAATCTACCCCTAACTTAAAAATATTGATAAAAAGTCTAATGTTGATAGAAAATTTTCAACTCTGTGTGCTCATAATAACTTTGTAAATTGACAACTTGATCCATCTAACCGTTTTTCTGTTCCAAGTGATCAAAATTTTGGAAATACTTAAAAGAACACGTATATTGCTCCAAAATATTATGAAATCATTTTCAAAATGGAAAAGAAGAATGTTTCCCGGCTTTTCCCACAATTTTGCATTAGATACAGTTTAAATTTAAGAAAAACAAAATTCAGAAAATTTTCAAAAAAAAATTCAAAATTTTTTAGAATTTTTTTTTTTTGGAAAAGTTATTTGATCTTTGAGAAAATTCTAGTCGTTTCTGACACCATTTTAAACCTCATTTTTCAATCACCGGCATTTGTGTTACCCAAAATGTACGAACGTAGAGTTTGCAACGAGAGTCGCCTTCTTGACCACGATAAAAAATTTAAAAAAAAATAAGTACAAAACTTTTGATTAAATTTTTTGCCTGTCTTTTTAAACGTAAATACCTCGTAGAAAATATCGAAAATCAATTTTATGAATATGTGTAAATCGAGGACGAAATTTTGTTTGGGGTATAAAGTGTGCACTTAAGGCAATTAAATAAAGATTAGTATAATTATGGTACGCAAAGGTAGAATAGTCCAGCATCTTTCAAAAGAAAAAAACCTGAAATTTTTTAAAATTTTTCTAATTTTTTTTTTCTTAAATTTTCTTTCTTTCTTTAGAAAAACGGTTTGATGCATCAACTTGTCAATTTACATTATTATTTTGGGTACATTGAGCTGTAAAAATTTCTCTCAATTTTAGTCTTTTCATCAATATTTGTAAATTAGCGGTAGATTTTCTAAAATACTGTAACGTCATTTTTTGCACTTTTTTCAGATTGATGTCAAGGATGAAAAAAAAAAATCTTCGAAAACCGTGCCATGTCCTTATAAAAAATTTATTCAAGTTTCCAAAACCGCCCTTGGATTTGCTGTGCAATAATTTGTTGCTGTGATATCGATGATTAAAAATACAACTTATTTTTCATTCAACCATCAAATATTAATCTAATAGTCACACGGAGACCTTTCAAAAATCAAATTGAAGCTGAATAAATAAGCTAACTGACCTCTGTATTGATTCAATTTGAAAAATTTTTCCTGAGTCCATGCACANTATTATGACGTCAGGCAATGGTTGCTCAACGTTTTTCCGCGCTCTGTTTTCATTAATTTATTTCACACATTTCTCGTTGAAACAAAAAATTGATTTTTGGCATACTAACTAATTAAAGGGTAAACTTTTGAAATATGCAATAAAAAAATTTTACTGAATAGGCCTATTAAATAAAGATTAGTATAATTATGGTTCGCAAAGGTAGAATAGTACAGCATCTTTTCCAAAAGAAAAAAAAACTGAAAATTTTTTAAATTTTTCTAATTTTTTTTTTCTTAAATTTAAACTATATCAAATGCAAAATTGTGGGAAAAATTATTTTTTTTCATTTTGATATGATTACGTAATGTTTAGAAATAATAAACGTGTTCCTTTAATACTTATCAAAACTTTGATCACTTGGAACAGAAAAACGGTTTGATGCATCAACTTGTCAATTTACATTGTTATTTTGGGTACATTGAGCTGTAAAAATTTCTCTCAATTTTAGACTTTTCATCAATATTTGTAAATTAGCGGTACATTTTCTAAAATACTGTAACGTCATTTTTTGCACTTTTTTCATATTGGTGTCAAGGATGAACAAAAAATCTTCGAAAACCGTGCCATGTCCTTATAAAAAATTTATTCAAGTTTCCAAAACCGCCCTTGGATTTGCTGTGCAATAATTTGTTGCTGTGATATCGATGATTAAAAATACAACTTATTTTTCATTCAACCATCAAATATTAATCTAATAGTCACACGGAGACCTTTCAAAAATCAAATTGAAGCTGAATAAATAAGCTAACTGACCTCTGTATTGATTCAATTTGAAAAATTTTTCCTGAGTCCATGCACAGTTGCTTGATAACTGTAGCTTAAAAAAAATCGTAAAAATTAGAAGCAAAATAACCTCACACAATCTTAAAATCTCCGTCACTGTCATATGCATAAAAATTGAGTTAGCGCTGAAAAGTACCTAAAGTTATTGATAATACGTGTACAAAATTTGAGTTCTGTATCTCAAACGTCCCGAGATTTCGTCAAAAAACTGAAAAAATTTTTTTTTTGAGAACCTACATCTCGAAAACGGTGCGTTTGCAAACCCATGGTTACTAAGACTTTTTTGCTTCTAGTATCGTCTACTTACACCTGTTTCAATTTGCACTTTATTTATGATACACCTTGTAAATTACGATGTAAAACTTAATTGAACAAGTGGGTTAAGAAAAAAATTATAAAAAAATGTAGCCGAATGCGTCTAAAGTGCCGCCAACAATTAATTAATTCAAGACCCGCGTTAAGTTTTACTCAGATACCGCAAAACAAGTTATGAGAAACATTGTAATATTGCGGCACAAAACTTAAGTCCCACTTTTCACTAGAATAACATTTCAGTAACACGCAACTGTTATAACTTTTCTAAAAAATGACATTTTGAAAAATACCGCATTTCAGATTTAGTTAAAATAGTAAATCTATCTATTTACGATATTTAATAACAAATATGGTGTACAATGTCTCTTATCAATAGGAACTGATGAATGACTCGCCTACATCCAAGTTCGTTAAAATGTAGGAGTGACGAAAGGAAATTGAAAGAATAAATATCTTTAATGTGTCATTAAATTTCTCATTTATACTTTTATTTTAAGTACACATGAATAAGAGGCACAGTTTCCATTAACTTTATTACTTCAAACTTCTTCGGGAATAACCTCAATTTTGTAGTTTTTTTTTCATTTTAATTGCAATATATAATGCAACGTGTTCCAAAATTATCTTGTAGCTTGTACAAATAATTTACCTAATTAAAGGCAAGAGTTCACTGAACTGATTTAAAAATACATATGTCAACCAGTGATTGACATAGTGGGAGAAACTGTCAATAAAAAATCCAGAATACCCATGGTAGGAAATTACTGATTAGTTTACAAGGAACAACCTCTTCAAGTTATTGGATAGACTTAAAAAACACCCTGTATAAACCTAGAAGAAATGACCCTTAAAAACGAAGCTCTGAAAATTGTTTTCAGATATCTCCAAAATGGAGTCCAAGACAAAATTAAATAAAATAATAGTAATAAAACAACCACCAGAAAATATATAAAGACTGAACATGATCAAAATCTAGAACGGACAACTTTTTTGTAATTAATCTTTTATCATGGGCGTGGATGCTACATAAGTATGTTATTTCAAATGGAACACTCTGTATACTATTGCATTTTTGAATTCCTTGGTTAATATTAGGTAGAGTTTATTAA